TTCTTTTAATATCATGTTCTGCAAACATAGATGCTGGAACTAGAGGTGCGTGGGGTGCTGCCCACCCCCTGGCTTGAAGTGGTTTCCATCATACACAGGGTTTACAATTTGGTTCAGTGCTCCCAGCACCCCCACTATACAAATTGTTCTAGCACTGTTGGCTGTAAAGAGCCACAGGAGACATGTTAAAGAGCCACTTGTGGCTCCCAAGCCTCAGTCTGAGTATCACTGGTTTAGTGCTTAGTACCCTTGCCTGGAACCTAAGAGACCTGGATTTGAGTCTGTTTCACCACAGACTTCCTGAATGACCTTAGGCAAGTCACTTAACCTACTGCTTAATTTGTGCCAGGGCTTGTCAGGGCTTAGCCCTGGCACTGCTAGGCTTGGCAGTTTATAGCCCCAGCATCTCTTGGCTTGCTGTGCCAGTTACGAAAGTAAAAATCTTGCTTGAGCCCCATAACCACTTTGCTTGCTGCTTCAGTTATGAAAATAAAAAAATTGCTTGAGCCCCGGCACCTAATTGCTTGAGCCCCAGCATCTCTTTCATTACAAATTAAGCACTGACTTAACCTCTCTGTGCTACAGTTCCCCATCTGCAAAAGGGAGATAATAGTATTTCCCTACCTCTGAGGAATGGTGAGAAGATAAATGCATTAAAGATTGTGAGATGCTGAGTAACTACACTAGTGGAGGTCATATAAGAAGGAAAGATAGACAGAAATTCAGATTTAAGGTTGATGCTCTGTACTTGTTTTCTTCGTGTAATGATGAGTAAGTTAGGGACGCATGAAAGACACACATAAACTTCACACTTTATAGCAATTAGCTATTTGTGCCAAATAGTAACACACCCACATTTATTTAAAATATTCCACTCCTACCTCATCCAAGTATAAAACAGAATCCTATTCTGCCTTTTTTGGCTGAAGAGGACTTTGGTATTAAAGAGGAATCTTGTTCATTTCATAACACCACTGATTCACAGATATCCCTGACTGCAGGATATATTTATTTCGGCCAATGTTTGTCAGATATCATCCATAGCCCTATGAACATTGTGAAGGTACTAGCTTGGTGGTACAGCAAGCAATTTAGAAGAAAGGAAAGGTTGGCTCCAGCCCAGTAAAGTTAAAAGATTTTATACAGCACCAAACCATGGAATGTTACACATCTCGCCCAGGTGCTGGAGAGCTGGTTTAAATGCTTCTCAGCAAATTTTGTAAAGTTCAGAACTACTCAAACTAAGCCTGAACTAGTTGCTCAGCTTGGAACACAGACTTTTCCATATTGACTCTCTCTATTGTCATCAGTACATCTGTTCTGGGATCTTTACTCTGGAAGTAGCCCTTTGTAATGTTTCTATTTATTCCAAACAAAATATCACCCCATCACAACCTTTAGGTGCATTTACAATAAGAACAATAAATATAACACAATGCACCAGCCTGCTAATGACAGGTTTCAGAGTAGCAGCTGTGTTAGTCTGTATCCGCAAAAAGAACAGGAGTACTTGTGGCACCTTAGAGACTAACAAATTTATTTGAGCATAAGCTTTCGTGGGCTACATCCCACTTCTTCGGATGCATAGCCTGGAACATGCTAATGTTAGATGACACAGCCCCAGAAGTATGAACCAAAGGAGGGAATTAATTCCACAATCTAGGGCCCTCTCCTGATTATACCACTCCTCAGCATGGACCAATCTAAGGCGTGTCAGTCTTGGTGTTCCCACTAATTTTAACTATTGGGATAAGGCAAGAGAGAGACATAATGTCTAAGATATTCAAGATGCATTTAGCTTTCTAACTCAGAACCAACACCTTGAATTTCACCTGGAAATGATCGGGATGCCAGAGGAATCTGTGTAGCACTGGTGTTATATACTCCCATTAAGAAGGCCCTTGAAGTATGTCTGTTTCTACCCTAGGAAAAGGTGTATTTTAAATGTGTGTTAAATCCTAGTGCAGGCAAGTCAGTTGTATTTTTAACACATCAGCTGGTTGATGTAGGCCCTAAGAGGGAGCCTAAGTTTTACCTCATCTAGCTAACACATATTAAAACTACAACTTGCCTTGTCTATATGAGGATTTTAACATGTGCTACCTAACATGTTAAAAACACACATTTTTCCTAGTCAAAACAAAGCCTAGATGGGCACTGCACCAATGGATAATTGCAGCAAGGTCCCCATTTGAAAGAAAAGGTCACAATTCTCTAGCCAATCTGCTATTGATAGAAAAGAATCATTCTGAATCACTGCATCTATCTGGGCAGCCACAAGCAGTTGACGCTCCAAAAGGACCTGCTGGTTGTGAATCTGAGTAAGGAAAGATAACCACAAACTCAGGAATGGAGACAGTGGATGCCGCAGTCATTTCCTCTGGTTGCTTCCTCAGCCTCTGAACACTAACTCTATTTTTTGGGGAGGGAGTGGGATTGTGCCTCAGCCAGTTAGCTCGTATTCAAGCCCCAGTTTTAGCTAGACATTGTAAAAGCCTATCTACCACATTGCTCAGGAATAAGACAGAGCTGAGCAGACTATCTATCTATTTTAGGCACTTATATGGCTCCCATCACCATAACACCTGAGCACCTCACCATCTGAATCCTCACACATCTCCTGTGAGGTAGAGAAGTGCTATTATCCTAATTTTACAGATGGGGAACTGAAGCACAGTGAGGCTAAGTGACTTGCCCATGGTCACACAGGAAGCCTGATCAGGGAATTGAACATGAGTTTCCCAAGTTCTAGGCTCATACTCTAACCACTGGCTACCCATCCTCTATTGGTAGCATGGCAGTACAAACTGTCATACCCGCAGTGCTTCTAGCCAATTATGTAATGCGGCAAATGGGTAAATGAGATCCCTGGCGGATGATTAGCTTATGCAGCAAAGCAAGTAGATTAATTACTTTTATCATAATCTTAACTTGTGTAACTCCAAATGTTGTAAATAGGCATGAAGCTATGCAGCCAGTTGTAAATCCAACCACATTTGTCTTGATGTAGCAGTGAATTTAACAGGCGGAGTTTATGATGATAAAGAAAGATTTTTCTATTCTGCTCTAAATTTACTGCCCTTTGATTTAATCACATATCTTTGTTCAAATCTTCAGCAGCTGCTTAAGAGGAGGCAAGTAAGCATGTGGAGTAAGTCCCCTGCTCTAAACAGCACAGACACACACTGTGGGCATGTCTATACTACAGAGTTAAGTTGACATAAGGTAGTTTACATCCACCTAATGAGGTAAATGTACACACCACAGTGTTCCTCCCGCCGCTGTAATTCCCCCGCTACGTCGACCTATTAAAGCCACCTTGATGAGAGGCATAAGGCTTCAATCGATGTAGTTCGGGCGATGCAGTGTCTCTATAGACACTGCGTTACTTGCATCGCCTGATGGCTATCAGGGTGGTTGACAGCTGGAGCCCTGAAATTGACAAGAATGTCAATGCCTAATGGGTTGCACCGGCCCTGAGTGTGGACATGAAAAACCACAGTAATTACTGTGGTGGTTGTAAGTCGACCTAACTTAGGTTGACTTAATTGTGTAGTGTAGACATGGCCTGAGTGAAATCCTGGCCCCACTGAATACAGTGGGATTCACTGACTTCAGTGGGACCAGAATTAGATCTAGTGTGTGTTGTTGATACATACTCACTTCCCAGGCTTTGACCTTACTGACAACTCAAACAATAACAAAACATACAAACTCAAACAGCTATGCTATTCCTAAGGTTTTCCTGCAGAACCTCCCCTGTCCCAGCCTCTAGTTCCCTTTTGCCCACCATGACCGAACTCTCTTATATCCCAGCTGGAGCTCAGGAGATTCATTGATCAGCATAAATTAAGAGTAATTCACATAACATAGATTTAACCCCTTCCCCCCACACATTTGGAGTTTGCCGGCTCCTGGAGCTCCAGACTGAGTCTCTAAGGGGGCCCTACCAGAACAACTACAAATATAATGGCTATCAGAGCCCTCTGACCTCATATCGCAGCATGCTTGGAGTCAGGGATGGGGACAGAAGGAAGCAGAAACTGCTGCTGAGGCCCAATGAGGGGACAGCTTGACTCAGACACACAGAGCGATAGTTTAGTTTCAGTTTTGGGTTTGGAAGTGGAGAGCCAGCCAGGCAGCTCAGCTCAGGGAGTCCCTGCTAAACTCTCACTACCCCCAAAGCTGACAGCTGTGAGATCTAGCTGCCTGGGCCAGGCCAATCCAGCACCATGGAGACCAGCCTCCAGCAGAGAGAGATCCAAGCCAGTGCCAGCTACAGAGAACCAGGAGTGACCGCAGGAGGGTTTCAGACCAGGGAACAGTGACCCTGGTGGGAGTCAGGAGATGACCCTACCCCACCCAGGGGTGAAGATAAAGTAAGGGGACTTTTTGTTTAAGCCAGCCAATACCACAGTGCTGCACTACACTGTCTGGATGCTCAGCCTCAGCCGACCATCTTCCTAGCCCTGGAGCAGCTTATTTTCCCATCTGTGCAGGCTCAGTGGGCCAGAGCCTAGTGGGGGTAAAGCCAAGGCTGTGCCCATTCCCCTCCTTTGCTTGCTCAGTCCCCATCCACCTGTGCAAGAAGGGGAGTAGCAGTTCATTGCTATCACCCCATTCCCCACACTATGAATTGCAATACTGGTAGCCCACATAGAGCAATAAGCAGACTCCTGGGGATTGAAGACCTCAGTCCACAAAACAGGTACAAGTTACCTCACTTTGCCCTGCCAGTGTGTGATGATGGCCTGGTCCCAAAATGACCACTTCTATGGGTGAGAGGGTACCAGAATCTCCATGTTCCTTCAATACCTGGCAACTGCCAAAGAGTGTGAGCGACACATCAATTTCTGATGCTCTGCATCATCCGTCCTTACCATTAGCATTTCACATTGTTTCCCCTAGTTATTACCCCAGAAGGAGTGGGGCTGTGGGGAGCACATTTAACTGACTTCTCTAATTCTGTACAAATCAGAATCTGTTGACCATACACTTACCTTGAATTCTTTTTCAATGTTTGCAAGCACAGCCAGCTCATTGCTAAGTTCTAAGGCAGTCATTACCGGGTCTTCACTGGATAAGGAGAGGTAAGCAGGGCTCGCCAGACCTTTGTAGGCATTGATTCTGGACCTAGAATGGCTGAAAGAGTCATGTTTTTGCTTCTCACTGCACTCACTGCATTTGCAGAAATAGTCATGTGGCCTTTCAATGCGAGCACCTTTTCTCAGAAGGGTGTGGACAATTTCATATTCATGGCAGTGAGCAGCCAGAATGATTGGGGTAACATCATGGGAGAACCGGGTTCCATCCTCATCGTATGCATAAAAGTCATCATGCTGGAATTCTGATTGGCTGGGACTTAATGCAAGTCTCTTGCCTTCAGCGAATGCAGGATGATTTAGGATGGCTTCCACTATCCGAATATAACCTTTACTAATAGCCAAGAGCAAGGCATCCCCAACCCGGGAGAGGTTCTCCTTCTTCAGTAAAAGTTCTATAATCTCCAGATGCTCATTGGCGACTGCAAGCTGCAAAGCATTCTGCCCCATGTAGTCCACACAGTTCACATTTAGTGAAGTACACTCTTCCAGCATTTTACGAATCACGGGAATATTCCCATATTCTGCTGCATCCAAAAAACGCTCCTCATCAAGAGAGAGGCTTGTGGAACGATCATTAAACATGTACGCTGGTCCTCGATTGGCCAGCCTTCTGCCCTTCTCCCGGAGTATGGTCTGTCGTCGAAGTGCTAGCCTATTCTCAGTACCTCGACTGAATGGAAAGAGAGATATCATTAATGCTTTCATACGCAAAATGATGTGCATTTTTAACCTAGCCTTTGGGAGGACACATAAATCTTAATATTAAAAAAAAATTCCCATCAGTTATCTGCTGTGCACTTTTTAATGCAGAAGTAAGACCATAAAGCTTACTTTGTTGCACTGTATAATCATTATAGCCATACAGGTCTGGAATGGATACCTTTATTACGCTCTGCTTCAGTGGAGGATCCCATAGTTTACTCCTATCTCAAGACCCCACTTCTTTACCTTACCTCACCCACAGTTATCACATCTGAATTTAGAAAGAGAAACTGAACCAAATTCTGCTCTCAGTTACACCAGTGTAAATCTGGAATAACAACTATAAAGACAGCGTAGTTACTCCAGCTTGGGAACCATGGTCTTTCTTTCCAGTACTTTCCATTATTTGCTTTAATTCTACAGATAACAGGCAAACATCTCATCATTTTACAGGACTGAGACTCATCATTCTTTGTCCCACATTTGTCTCATATATGAATGGTTGGTCCAGAAAATCAGTGAAGTAGGTAACATCAAAATAATTTGCACATACTGAGACCTCACATCCCTGGTTAAATGGATTGTAGCCCACCTGTAGACAAGGAGTGGTGATTCAGGAACCAGAGGAGGCACATGAGGAGTGATGGTGGACCCTTATCAGCACAGCTGACAACTTGTGTATGTGGAAACCCTTGAGATTAACACCCTAAGCAGGGCTGGGGCACAAAGGCCCCATGTTAATATGTGTATAGTATATTGCGTCAATCCAGTGCTGACTGACTTCATCTGCTCCCATTCCTTCAGTTACTACTACATGAATAATTCCCTAATCTCTTTGCTCTGATTTCTTCCGTCCATTCACTCTTGCTTTGAGTTCTACTGATTCAAAACACTAAATAAGAGCTCGGTATTTATTATTACTTTTATTATCTGCAGCCGTTTCTCTGACATTTAGTCTGGAATGTCCAGTTGCCAATTCAACCTGAACCTGGTAGAAACTGAACATGTGATCTCCCCCTCCGTTAAACCTTGCCACTTCCTCCTTCACCATCCTCTCAATTATTCTGGCTCGCAGACTTGATGTCATAATCATTTCTCCAACACTCAGGCTGCCATGAAATCTTGCCACCTCTTCCTTTTTAACAGCTCTAAAATCTGTACCTTTTCTTCTATTCCCACTGTTAAAACCTTAGTCCACTGCTTGGCACTCTCTCTTGTCTTGACTACTGAAACGTGAAGTGAAACATTTTGAACACTTGGGGTTGGCTATACTGCATTTGTTGAGAACAACTCTATTTTTGCAGTGATTTCTCAGTACAAAATATATCCCATTTTCATTAACAAGAAAAGAGAATAATATGTAATCTGGGAAAACTAAGCTTTTAACCCCCCGCAGAAACTCATTTTCAAATTGATTTGGCCTTCTAGAATTACATCGCTAGTATCCAACATCCACTACAATTTTCTGCCTTTTTCTTTTATTTTTTCCCCCAGTTGTAGCTCAATGGCACTTATTCCTTTCTTACACATTTTCATAAAATACTGCAGGTTTCTTACACATTTTCATAAAATACTGCAGGTTGCAACAAAGCAATATATACAATATTCTTGAGATATTGCTTACTCATGAACATAAACTCAGATGTTAAACAAGACTTGGAAAATATAAATCTCACCTCTTAAACTAGAAATGAAAACATTATCACAAAAGGGGAGGAAAAAGACACAGACCATTTATGTAACTATGATTCCTATAAAGCTTCTCTATCGACCAATCTTGTCCAGAAGAAGAAATCTTTTCTAGTATTATTTTTCTTCCAACTTGCCCATGTCACCAGTCTATAGATAGAACAGTTTTCCAAAACATAGCCACAGAGTGGTGTAATGTACTTGTAGCTAATAATATGTTATAACTAGAGAACATGACACTGGCCATTACCCAAAAAATACAAAGAAAGGAGTCCGATTATAAGATTATTGATGAGGTTTAGGGCTATGAATATGTGCTCAAACAAGGGGAAAAGAGAGTTAGAATTCCCCTTATGGCTCTACATGGGCAACATGGACAATGGGTTCAGGCACAATGGAGAAAACAGAGTTATTAATCTTAGGGCTAGTCTACACTTACCGGTTAGTTCGACGGCTGCGGATCGAAGTTCCGAGTTCGATTTATCGCGTCTGGTCTGGACGCGATAAATCGAACCAGGAAGTGATCCCCATCGACTGCGGTACTCCAGCTCAGCGAGAGGAGTACCGCGAAGTCGACGGGGAGCCTGCCTGCCGCGTGTGGACCGCGTCTGAACCGCGGTAAGGTCGAAGTAAGGTATGTCGAATTCAGCTACGTTATTCACGTAACTGAATTTGCGTACCTTACTTCGATTTGGGGGGTAAGTGTAGACCAGCCCTTAGTGTTAAATAAAAGTTTAACCTCGATTGCAGGTTGAACATTTTCCATTGAAAATTTGTTTGACAGAAAATGGCTTTTTTATCTAAATGGAAACTCTTGTGAGAATCATCCATTTTTAACTAAATTTTTCAGGTTTTCAATCCCCCCTCCACTTGACAATGAAAATGTTGTGGGTTTGATGCCATTTTTTTCATTTCTTCAGCACCCCCCCTCACGCACCCACACACAAAATCAAAGAAAAAAAATCAGTGAAAACAATTTCTTGTTTTTGTTGATTTTTTTCAAGGGAAAAAAATTCTCACCCAGGAAAAGACAGATGTTTGAGAAATCATAGAATCAGGAAGAAGTTACAGAATTTGGCAAGAACATACATATTGGTGGAGAAGGATGAGAGGAGGCAATGGAAATAAGAATAATAAGAAGAAAAACAAAAATAACATTTGACTTCTATAGCACCTGAGACTGTGAGCCTAAGGGAAAGAAGGATGTGGGGTTGCCAACTGTAGTAGAGAATGTTGAAATGGGGCGCGTGGAGAGACGAAAGATTTAATTTAGAAATGCTATGAGCAGCAGCACATCCAAGGAGACCTTTGAGAAACAACTGTAGGTCAGGTATGCAAGCCTGGGCAAAAGGGGTGAGGGGTCAAGAGTAGAGAGGTAGAACTGTGAATGATGCAGGTATGAGTGGTAGCTGAAACCATGAGAATGGATGAGATTGTCTTGAGAGAGAACAGAGAGACAAGGGGCAAAGGTGGAGAGAATTCAGATTACCACGGGACAACAGAGAGAGGAACCACTTAAAATGATGAAAAAGGTAAGAGAAGCCAGGAGAGCAAGGTGTAAGATGAAACTCCAACATATGCCTTGGATTTGCTTGGTGTATTTTAGCGACCTTGGAAGCAACAGGAGCAGAGAAAGCCAAAGAGATGGTTGGAAAGGAGAAAATCTAGACAGAGGGAATTGACAGCAAATTCCAGAATTTTAAGAGACAAGGGGAGGAGGCAGATACATTGGTAGTTGGAAAGAGATGTTTTTTTCAGGATAAGGAACCCAAAGGCATACTTGTAAGGCTGGAAAGAAAGAGCCGGAGTTGGGGAAAGATAGACAGGTTAAAGATAAGGAAGAGCAAAGAGATGTAAAAGAGGACAGCAGGGGAGGGCTTCTGCTCTATCTGCCCCTTGGCTCCTATTCTCCCTTTCCCTCCAGCCCCATTCCTCACCTTGCTGCATTCTTCTACTTCCACACAGCCCAGCCTCTAACAGCAAGAGCACTGAGAGCACAGGAGTCAGTCTCCCTGCTTGCAGTTCCTGTGCCCAGCACTACAGCCACCACTGGTAACTGCTCAGCCCCTGCAGCTCCAGGGAAGGAGTGTGTGTGGAAACTCAGACGGAATCTTTGAAGAGTTTAGCTGCCACACTCTAACATAGCTCTACTGAGCATGTGCAAACTGAGATTTTTCAGAGATTTATACCTTAGCCAAATTTGAGCAAATTTTCAAGGTGACAGCAAAAGGCACATCCTTGACTCCAGGGCATTCCACTGCAAAATGTCAAGTCCCTACTCCAAAGGATGGGAACATTAGCGATTTTGTTATAAGAATATTTTAAACATCTAAAAACTAACCTATTTTCCCTTAAAATAATTCTCAAAAATGGCTGATCCCATTTAGCTTAAATTTTCCAAAAACAATTCAGCCTGAGGCAGACACCTGGCATAGAAGATTTCAGCTCAAACAGTTAAACTTTGGCAAATGTATAAGTAAATGAAAACAGGTTCTTATCATGGAAAGTTTGGGTGAACTTTAACTATAGATGGCACTACCAGCTCTGCCGATAATAAAATCATTGTTAATAATTGGGTTAAAGGGGCAATGACAGGGTTAGGGCAAGACAGTAGTTGGGATTACTCAGATTTAGATGAAGGAGATGGTAAGACTGAGGAGGAGGAAAATTCCAGTCATCGAGTGTCAATTTCATTTGCAAATGTATTCTCTGAAACTGTGAGTTTATGAACACATAATTGATTAAGTAATATTTTATTCTTGTAAAGTCACAGAATTATAGACATGTAGGGCAGGAAAGGACCTCAAGAGATCATGAAGTTTAGCCCCCGATGCAGAGACAGGACCAAGTAAACCTACACCATTCCTGACAGGTGTTTGTCCAACCTGCTGTTGAAAACCTCCAATGACGTGGATTCCACAACCTCCCTTGAAAGCTTATTCCAATATTAACTATCCTTATAGTTAGAACATTGCTTCTAGTATCTAACCTAAATACCCCTTACTATAGATTACTTCTTGTCCTACCTTCAGTGGACCTGGAGAACAAATAACCACTATCCTCTTTATAACAGACTTTAACATATTTGAAGACTTATCAGGTTCCTCCCCGTCTTCTTTTCTCAAGGCTAAACATGTCCAGTTTTGTTACCCTTTCATCATGAGTCAGGTTTTCTAAAGCTTTTATCACTTTCGTTGCTTTCCTCTGGACTCGCTCCAATTTTTCAATATATTTCTTAAAGTCTGGCACCCAGAACTAGACACAACACTCCTGCTGAGG